GAACTGGTTAAATAAAAAGACTTAATATTTTAAATAATTTAAAGAGCACCAATTATTTAAAAAATCACATTTATAAGGGGTTTAAACAGTTGTGAGTGAACAGTGTGTGATAGCCAGCTTCTAATGGTAAACATTCATTAATTCCATTTATTTCATTATCTTACTTGATAAAAACAGTCTTTAGAAATGGCTTTCTCCCTTTGTACGTGACATTAGAGAGAAGGGAAAGCATAAACAGCACTGAGTGAGAAGCAGCTGTCTGCCATTAGTTTTCCTCTGCTGAAGATAATGTCAGTGTATTCTATGATTATAAATGTGGAGTTAATGAACACTGTAATCTCCATAAGCCCCTTTTACACATTCAGACCTTTTCCGGAAAATTATTGACAACTTTTTGAAAATATTGGTACATTTTTTTGGGCAATTTTCCGGAAAGAGAAGTTGTAACATTACCAGTAATTTGCTGGAATGCTGCGCTGTGTGAACGCAGAAGGAAAATTGCAGAAAAGAGCGTGTTTACGATTAGAACAGACTGACGTGAGACATCAACTCCAGCCCACCAGAACATTCAGACGCACTCACATCTGCGCTGTTTATAAAAATAAAAGCCTTTGAATATTTTTCCAGACACATTTAGCTGCTAGATGTTAGTCAGTTAACGTTTCTATGTTCCTTCTTAATGCCAACTATGTACAAATGTATCGATAAAATGCTTATCATAAAGCGCTGTTTGTTTACCTTCAAGCTCTGCTTCAGTTGCTTGATGCATGTGCAGAAGTGCTTCGGTGAGCTCCAGCACACACACATATTACGTACATCTCGACATGCGAAAGTGTTCCTCCATATGCCTCATCGAAATTGTTCACAATACTCATCTTTCTACAAAATTTGTAATCTAGTTAAACGTGTAAACATTTAGCTGCAGTTCACACTTCTGCCTTCGAATGTCTCTGGGACAAAGCAGCTGCATAAATGCTAAAGCTTTATAAAAGTGAAACCATCAACAAAAGCCCGACCTCTTCTATATTTACAAATACAAGCGCAGCCGTTTAGAGCTTATGGGTAATGATGTCAGAATTTACCAGTATTTTGGAATGGATGTGTGAACAGTCTTTTCCGGAAAAATTCCAGAATGTTCTTGCTTTTTTAAAATTTACCATTAAAGTCCTTCCGGAAACTATTTACCTGTATCACTGTGTAAAAGGGGCAATAGACTGCCTTCTGCTGAGACACTTCTGTTTTTACATTTTTTCACAGAGATATTGTTAGTCCTGTTTAGAATCTGCCAGTATTCTGATGCATATGCATTTGTAGCTCCAGTCTCTTTTGAAAATTGCAAATTCTCATTTAAATTAAAAGCAACAGTCTCGAAAATGGCAAAATTAGGATCAAAGCCTAAAAGGGGCTGTTTCCAAGCTGAAACGTCACATATACTTGTCAAAATGGTCATAATAAGTAATCATTTAAAACAATAAATGAAAAGTTATTTTCAAATCCAGCCAATATTCGGAGTGGCTGGTTTTGACTGAACTAAACAACAGTAATATAGGCAAGATAAATGTCGTTTTAAAGTTGGAGTCAGGTTTGGGCAATCTAAAAAGATAACAATTCAATTTATTTTAAATAGGGAAACTAGTGAATAATCTGGAACTAGTTGCAACAAAATAACTAGTTGAAGATATCTTTATATTATTATTTTTTACAGCGTATCAGTATGTATTCATATGGACTGTTTATTTTAGTATAATGAGTGAAAAATGAAAAATAGCTGGGGCTGTATCATAAAGTATTAGAAAAGTGGTTAATTTGACTCAATATCTTTACTGTATCTGAATTCTTCTGTAGCGATGAGTGGAAACACAGACAGTATGGTGCATTCATCAGAGTAATAAAAGATGTGCTGATGTCATTTTTTTGAAACTTTACAACAAATTAAGTTGATCCAGTTTCCACTTTTTGAAAGTGGCTTTAAAAGTAACGTAGTGAACATTTTTAAATGGCATATCGATGTGCCTTTTGATGCTGTAAAGCTCCAGTTCCCATTTACTGTGATAACAATCAGGACACATACATTTCTCCTTTTATTTTTCACGAAAGAAAGATAGTCATTGGTGTTTGCACAGTGACACAAAGTTGACCAAAGAATTACATTTTGCTCATAAATAAATATGATTTGTATATATTATAATTTTAATAAAATATTTTTGTGATGGTCAGCTTGTTTGTTGACATTATAAAAATGGGAAAAAAGGCAACTACATCATATCACATCTTTAAAGATGGTGCTTTGTACAGTAGCACTTCAACCACCCCTGAGAAACACTAAAAAACCATTACTGAGCTTCTTATTACTTATTACTTGGGTTCTTATTTCTGCAGGCACAGGATGTCAACAGGACGTCATATTGATGTTGTAGCCCAATGTCGTGAGGACATTGGATATTGTTTAGAAATGAAAATTGGGTTGACGTCAGGCTGATAACAATGTCCAACCTAAAAATCAACCTGATATCAACATCTAATCATGTTACACCTTTAAGCTGTGTGGACGTTACTACTATGACATCAATCAGACTTTAGATTTTGGCCACTTTTCAACACAACCTAAAATCAACCAAATATCTGTCATTTTATGTTGTTATTGGACGTCAAACCAAAGTTGTCCTTAGACTCTAGCTAGACATTGAATTTGGGTCACCTGACATCATGACCTAAATCTAACCTAATATTAATGTCTTATGATGTTGTGTGCCTGCTGGGATAGCACTTAAATTGGTAAAACATTTGGTGATATTTCAGAAATTTCACAACCTTTGGAAACCCAGACGATCCAAAAAAATCTCTTTTTGTACTATTTAGCAACATTTTTAGATATATTTTGTGTATGGGTGTAGTATATCTCCATTGACCATAATGAAATGTAGCCTCTCTAATAGTTCCAACTGGATTCATGTCCTGCTTGAATAACTGCAAAGTTAAAGGCTGTTGTTCTTGCTGATAGATGCTTTTCTGTTGACAGTAATATGTCAGACAGAGCGTTCTTGAATCAGTGTTGGCGATACAATGGAAAATCCAGGTGGAAGATATGAGAGTTCACAGCGCTCACTCCCTGGAGGAGCTTTGGCCGCTCTCTTCTTTCTCACAGGTCTGATCGATGAGGCGTAAATCCACTGAGCAGAAGCTTTTGGCTGCCAGAAAGCTCACAGGTGAACAGGCTGGTTGCCACGAGCTGTTTCTATATATTACACCATGGCTGGAGGCTATAATTTACTGCTCCTCCCTCCATCTCTTAGAGCTAAATCAGACCTGCACCCTGCTTCCCAGTCCAATTTTTTATCATAAGTAATTCAAATGTTTGTTTTTTTATCTTTTCTAAATTGAACCAAATATGTTTTGGTCTTAAAAGCTCCAGTTGCAATTTAATTGGTAATCTAATTACAATATATTGAAAAAAAATCTGTATGTGGAAACAGGGTAAAGGGTATTTATAAATATTCAGTACCAATTTTACAGCAAAATTGTTTGTATGTGGGTCAAATACAAGGGATAGTTTAGATTTTTAGATATTTTTTGCAACCACCAAAGCTCATCAATTCACAATTTTATTTTTATTTTGTTTATAAAAGGTTTAATTGATTTTTTTTTTTGTTATTTTTTTAAATTCCGAGATCCTGCAGGTTGCATTTTCATTGGCAATCTCAAGCCAATTGTACTCATTTGTTTTGGTTTAGTTTGGAATTTCCCCAGCCAACCCAGAGCCCGGGGGATCAGAGTGAGTGCTCCGACTTGGCCCCACCCTGATTCAAAATGTTTAAGTTTTGTATCTTTTTTTAAAAACATTATTAGTTACTGGACAAAATGATTCGAGAAGAAATAGACTGAACTGGAGGCCTATGCTGTTTAATCAGTGAAAAGGCATGTACCATAGTAAATTTAGTTGTTCTAAAATAGATTTGAAATAGTTGTTCAAATAGAGTTTTTGTGACTACAAGGAGAACATTTTTAGTCAAATCCATGGTTCTTAGTCACACATAAAATACAACTCAATAGCTAAAAAAAAAAAAAAGTTATATGTAACACAAAACATAATGCCAAGGCTCCTGATAACATACTCAGGTCTAATGAAGCAAAACAATTGGTGTGTGCAAGAAACTGAACATTACTTACAACATAATTACAACCCAGGCTCATTCTGAAAAGGTACCTCTATATACATTTATGGAGCGCGCCAAATACATCCCAGGACCTGCGTTGTTTTTTTTTTTTTGTTTTTTTTCTGTTTTTTTGTTTTTGCGAATGCCCAGGGGTCACCGAGTACGCTTTATGAGAAATTTCTCTTACAAATGCATTCGCCCTTGTTCTAACGTAAACTCACCAGAGGCCGTTGCAGACTGAATGAATGACTGACTGACTGACCAATTGACTGGAATTGTTCTCCACCAGACTAGAACCCCTTGAACTGCGTCTCAAGTCTGCGGACGTACAAGGCAAGCTAATGGGACAAAATGGTAAAAGTGGGACAGCCGCCTATACAGAGACAAGCGGTCAGCTGGTAAACGCAAAAAGGAACAGCGTCAAACCGGCCCGTTCATTTAAAAAATGAATTTCAGCCATACGTAGGTCTGGCTACATGATTCTTGATTTCCATGAACGTATATAGGGCTAAGTTTTCAGAATGAGCCTATGTTGCATAATTACCTTTAACCAAAATGATTTGGGGTGGGGGGGTGGGGGTAACTATCCCTTTGATTAGTGTAAAGGTCTAGAACGTAAAGAAACATCACAGTGATTGCAGTTGAGGTAAATTTTGTTGTCGAAAGAGTATGCTTTAAAACAAACTGGTCATAACCCCAACATATATGCATGCATCCAAAGCATACATTTACATGTCAACAGCAGGGCTTCCCATAATCTTTTCTCATCCATCTTTGCTTCCGCTTACAGTACATCAGTTTTGATGTATCGCCATGTTCTTCTTACATGTGCTTGTGTGTTTGAAGATCCCAAAGTGAACGGTGAGGCAGCTAAAGCAGCTCTGGCCAATGAGGACTGTCCCCATATAGACCAAGCCATTTCCCCTGAGGACGGCCAGATCTTTAACCCCAACGAGCCACGGGGAGACACTCCATGCTTTCTGCTCAACGTTGGCAGACGGTCCACAAACACTGGCACCCGAGTGAGGAAGGGTATGTAATCTCTGCGTGAGGCGATTGCCTGACACACACACACACAAATGTATTTACATCATGTGCAATACACAATAAACAAAACAGACACAACCTACAGACAAGCAGAGCGCGCCCACAACAGACAGTTTATAATGATGGAATAAAAACTCTTACTTTCTTTACAAACAAGACCAAATTTTGTCTTCAATTTCCACCTCAGCTGACTCAGATTTTAATTACATTGGCTTAAAAATGGCCTCTTTTTTATTTACCGTATTACACTGTAGTCCAAATTGCTCATACGTAAATAAGTGATGGTCAAATGAAGATCCTTGCACGCTTCCAAAAGTCACATTTCTCCAACCCTCTTCTCTTTTAACATATTGTAAATACGTTTTTTTTTTCCACACCACGCTGCATTACGTCATATTAACACACATACAGCTGCCTCTTGGGGCCAACCTTAATCTTCCCTTTTTTCTGTTTTTCTTTGTTGTTTGTTTGTTTTTTACTTGTTTCTTCCACCACTGTACATTGTTGTGGTCTGTCCCTGTGTTTGTTCCTCCTTCCATCTCTCTGGTCTTCCTAATGCTATCCGATTGGCTCATAGCCGGATTGTTCTCAGGGAGGTCAGGGGCGGAGCCGGCCGGCCCGACGCATGGCACACAGGGTTACCCACTGCTGCAGCTAGGCTGGGCGCACAGCCCAGAAGACGGCCATGCCAGGGTCACCACCTGATATCCATGCCTGTTCAAACCGTGCTCACAGCAGCCTTAGATAAACATAAGACCCCTACAAGCCATGTAGCTTCACAGGCTTTCCATTGACATCAGCAAATGTAGTGATATATAACCCAGCGTTAGTTTGACTCCTGCATCATCAGATCACACAGCGACCACATAAAATTGATCACATTCGAAAGAATTTCCATCCACCAATCTGTCACGTGACCATTTTCTAACCAATAGCGCTGTCTGTCTGTGTCTTATGACATGTTGCTCTGTGTGAGCATGCTCTGTTTGACTCCAGATCTTACCCACAGCCAAAATCACCACAAGATCACCAAGCAGATCTACACACACTCTTCCCAACTAATATTTTTGTGATTTATCTGTGTCTGTGTGAGTTGAGATGTTTGTGTGGGTGCGTGCGTGTGTGTGTGTGTGTATGCATGCAGTGTTTGTTGGATTGCACTGTTGTTGTTTTTTCTTTGTAGCATATTGTTGTGCATGTGTTAGGACAGTCTTGCGGCCTTGCTGCACAATCTGTCCTGATGCCTGTATGGTATTGGATGAGAAAGTGAAAACTTGGTTTTGCATAAGGCAAAGGAGTGTGTAGAGAAGGTGCAGACACACCAGGCAGTAACATGACAAACTCTTTCATTTTGAGTCAGTGAGCTACAAGTGGAGAAAGATTTCTAATCTGTATTAACCAAGTCTCTGCTGTAGGCTTCTAACAATGTTATACTCTTTAAACAATCATATCTGATCTAGGGTTTTGGAAAAAATCCACAATCTGATCGCAGAGATATTAGATTTTTCATCACACATATACTTAAGCATAAAATGAAGAGTTCAGATGCAAAACCCTCTAAATCTATCAAACCTCTTTTCTTGGAAATAAGCATTTTCTATCAGGCTCCTTTGATTAGGTTCATAAGTTTCATTTTAGATATAATGACAAGGTTATTAGGCAGTAAATAAAATAACTCTTTTCCAAAAATGTCACTTTAGATAATTATTTGGTTTTTAACAAGGTAGATTTTCTTTTTTTTTGCGTCAAAACCGGCTAAATCCACTTGTGCTTTTTTGCAAACCCTCTAAATCCACCTAGACAGTGTAATTAGTTGTAAAATCATTAAAGATGCAATTACACATTTTTTTAACAAACATAAAACACATCACACAAACCACTTAAAACACCTTCATTCCGCTGTATTAACCTCTGACGGACCAGACTAAGCAGAAGGAAAATTAATGAATTAAATGTGTCGAGTGCGCATTAATCAATAACATTAAAATTGACCTGAATTAAATCTTAACAATCTGCGCTCATTTCTGATTTCGAGATTTAGATTTAATGTAAGTTCAGCAATAAAAACAAGCTTGTTAGATTCAAATAATGTAGTTTAAAAACTTTGCGAAACATCAATATCTGTGCATTGCCCATTAATATAAAAAAGCTTATTAGACTTAGGTAATATCAAGTACTATAAATAATGAATAGTTTTATACATTTTATTTATCTTTTAAAAAACAGCTTACATTAGCAAATAAAACACAAGGTAGGCCTACTGGGCAAAAGGGGGATGCCTCTGAGAAACTTTTAGAAACTGTCATTTATTCATCCTCACTATACTCAAAGTCTTAATCTCTTGTTTACCCCCATAGCATCCATGTGGGATAAAAGAACGGCATTTTAACTTCATCTTTCTTGAAACGCAGTTGCCATTTAAAGTGTAGTAAATCGGACTCAAAGTAAATGCGCAAAAAAAAAAAAAAACTTTATAAATGCATGCTATACTTCCGACTGTATAAAGTGTTTGCATCTATCAAAATTGAAATCGAAAGTGGAATAAAACAGTCACCTCATAAAAGCCGGCGTATAAGCCCACCATTACATTGAAAACATATAATTCAATTTGCACAGTCAGATTGGTTTTTGGGACATGGCGGCTTTTACTGTGAAAGGCAAGTGGTGTTTAGCGGCTTTTGCAAACAAACTTCACCGTTATTTCTGAATGTGCTGAGGCTGGGATTTAGATGATTTGAAGCAAAAGTATTTGTTGAACATGTACATCTGAACTCTTCAAATGTTTTTTAATGGTCAAAATGACTCAAAATGATTGTGAAGGTCATTTAAAGTGCTTAAATCTGAGGTTTTGACCCTGACAAATCATCCGATATGACTACCTTAAAGTGAGTCAATTTAAAGTTAATCTTTAAAAAAAATGCCTTGCAATCCACAGTTTTCGTTGCTCGCTCTAATGCCGGATTAACCAACTGATCTCTGTGCATGCCCTCACACAGAGACTGCATGCCATTTTAAACCCTTTAAACCTGACCCATAGCAGCCAACATGGTGTGGAGCAAACTGACAGAGGTCAAGACCAAGCCTTTGTGTCTTAGCAACTGCCATGTGCACATTTCTCTCCACTAAACCAAGGTTATCAAAAGTCCCGAAGCCTGGGCACCATATCCAGCAAGGCCCGAACGCTGGCCGAGGTGGTGTCGATGTCCACCGGGTCCTGCATCCCACCTGTTCTCCTGCGGCGGTCCCATTCTCCAATCCCCTCCATTCTGTAATAAATGGAGCAGTGGTGTAGTTAGAGCTCTTTCCTTGGGTCTTCCTCCTGTCCTGCTGCTGTTTGATTTAGTTTGGTCTGTCTTGTTTTCTGGTCCTTGTCTTCTGGAGCTGTGTTTTTGTCTCCTCTTCTCCTCTTCCTCCGTCCGTTTTGCTTGTTTCTTGTCTTTACGTACCGACTTTTAACTCACACAAAGCCATCAGAGAGAAAGAAAACCTCCAAAAGATCTCAGGGAAATTTGTATGGATTTCCTAGTTGTATCAAACTCAATAGAAGAACAGGGATGAGGAAGGTAAACTTTTCTTTAAGAGCACATTATTGTTCCAGGGGGCACATCATAACTGGAAGAACTAATGAGGCAAAGCCTCTCTTCAAATGATTGAAATCATGAATTTACTATGAATGTTTACTTATAAATCCTCTCCCATTTGATTATATTGTGTGACTCCTGGAGGACAAAATAATAGCCACTTGTTTTTTTTTGTCAGTTTGCTTTTTGTGTAGTTTCTACGTTTAAATGGTATAATTCCCTTTTGGTCTGGTGAAGTCTTCCTTCTTTCTCCGTCGCCTCTTTAACAAGAACCCAGGTAGGAGCAATCAGGATTTCCTCTTTCTCTCCTCCGCTGTCTACGGCCAGTGTCTCTCCTTCCTCTGCAATTCTTTCATTCTCCCTGTGCATTTCTGTCCATCTCTCTTTCTCCAACCTCTTTAGCCCTGGATTGCAAAAGCAACCCAAATGAACGTTTTTTTTTACTATACTGAAAAGGAAGTCTTATTTTCTCAGCCAATTTCCTCCTTATTCTTTGAGCTGAATGAAAACAAGGCCCAATGGCAGGATGACCCTGAGCAATCCCATCCTCCCCTGTATTTTCTACTGCAGATCCCTGCAAAGAGGAAACTGCCCTAGTTAAGTATATGCAGTCAGAGGTGCTCAAAGTGACCTGAGAAGGCAGCAGCATCTCAAAACCTTGGATTCCCTTCTCCAGCATTGCTGGACTCCACAACGGCCAGAGGGATTTCAGGCTGGAATCCACAAGAGGGACGCATGTGTAGAGAGAGAGAGAGCACAATAGAGGATGTTGCTAATCGGCGTTTTTATTCCCAATCCGATGGCGTGAGGGACCCAACGGACAAGGACTTTTTTAAAGAAGACCAGCGAAGGAAGAGTGTGACCAATGGATGGCTTTAAAGCCAGCAGAATGCATTTTTATAAACACAGTACTAACGATAGTACCTGCAGTGACAGATGTAGTGGACTCTTACCTGTTCATTTTAGCATGAGCTGCATGGTGTTACATAAAAAGAGGAAAATATTCTATATCTGTTATGAATATCTGTACAGAAAAAAAACAACATATTTTCTTTCAAGAGTTCCTGACTTTTGCAGAATTGACATGTAGCCATGGATACGATGAGATGTTCAGAAACCATGTTCTTTATTTGAGCAACAGATCTTTCTTCATTCTGTCTTTGTTGTTAACCACATGACTCAGCTCTGGTCACATTGACCTCACATTCTGAACTAAATGCTAGTGGTTAGAGTGTAAACTCCACCTTTCGACTTTGTTTCTGTCTGGCATGCTTGTGATTTTGGATCTTATAGACAAACAAAAAAACTGAGCAAAATGAGTTATTTTTCTGTTTTATGTCATAATTATTGGTGAATAGATCCTGTGCAAACTGTCGTGAGCAAATGTTTATTTCACATATCAAGTGCATACTTTTGACAGTGTTATTTTTGGAAAGAAAACAAGCGAATATGAAAAACAAGAAAAAAAAACAGCATCCTGTTGAGATATTTTCCATTTTCTCTCATTACTTTTAGGTACTAAAACACAAAGAAAAGCAAAAAAGGCAGATGTATATTTACATTATAAGAGAATTGTATGCAATTTAGAACTTTGGGAACAAAAAGACAAAAAAACAAAAGTGCATGCACAATGTTATGCAACTGCATAGAAAAAAAAAGAAAGAAAAACATGAGTACAAACAAAGCATGAAATAAATTTTGTATGAAACCTGTTAGAACGCTTGGGTTATTTTCTTTCCCTTTACTGCAACGGAATGTTTGATTAATTTCTGATTCTCTCATTGGACGATGCACCAATGCTCTCTTTGACCTGAAATCAACAGGCACAAAGAGCTGGATTGGAAGGGTCTTTAATGCGAGTGAAAAGAAAATGAAAAAGAGTGTGTCTCCAGGTGGAGCAGCATGGCAGACTGCGCTGATGAGCATGCTGATGAATTAACCATTAACATTTGAAGGAAACACCTGCATGCTGCGAACGAGCTGAAGTTTTTAAAGAAGCGCTGCCGTCGACATTCAGTAGACTCTGCTCAATGAGGTATGATGCCAAAGCCTGCCTTACGCCTGCTGAACGTGCCTGCTAGACGGCATTAACCTCACCCTCTGCTCTCCTTTCATCCCTTCCTCCTACTCCTCCTAACCCCTCCATCTCTCCTCTGCACTGTTTGGCACGTCATTCGCACCCTGCTCACCCGTCTTTGTTCTGGAGGTGTCTGGGTAATAACTCGTCTGTTGTCTCTCTTCTTTTTTCATGTCTGTAGAGGCTTCTCGGCAGGGCCGGCACAATCCGCCTGCATACTCTGTGTGTGTCATGAATCGTGGTGTTCCTACCACTGTGTGCATGGCCCAGAACACCCCTCCCACCTCCTGATAGTCTGTTTGTTGTACACGAATGGATGGAAGACCACTTTCAGCACATTTAAATCTATTTCAGAGGGACATTTTGTTGTGGTGGCTGATAATATTGTCAACTTGTAGTGGTGTGTAAAAGGCTGTCCTGATTTTGCCAAGTGGTTGATGTTCTGAGACTAATAATTTCTGTGATGTATATGGGACGACAACTGTTTTAGCCAATCAGCTTTTGTGATGTCATCAACTTTGTAAAATGATTTTTTTTTTCAATCCTCTTATTTCCCACATAGAAATCTAATATGTGGCAATATATACAAATTAGATGTATGGCATACAAGTTCATATTAGCATTTATATATGTAATATATGCATCTATACACACACACACACACACACACACACACACACACACATACACAGACACACACACACATATATATATATATATATATATATATATATATATATATATATATATATATATATATATATATATATATATATATTGGGGGTAAGGAAGTGATAGGGGCACCTCAGCCAACGAGGGCAGAGGGGCAGTGGCTCTAATCACCGGGCCACCCCCTGTGCACGGCCCTGCTCTTGTGTAATGTCTAAAGTTTTAAACAAAATAGGTGATTTTGCTGACATTTTAAGATTGTAAGGCTCAAAAGGCACAAAATTTGTTGTGTTTGAAAAAAAAAAAAACACTTCAAAATCAACATCTTTAGATGTTATTGTTAATTATGTGTATCTGTTCAAACACGCACCCAAACCCCAGACCTTCGCTCAGCTTCAAATCACGTGTACAGAATCTGTTTGGGAAAAAGCGTTTATTTGTCACTATGGAGTCCGTCAGCTGACAGTCACGCACGGCTAATTGACTGTTTTAAAGGATTGCATAGGAACAGCGACCACACCTGTAATAGAAAGTAAGGGAATCCTGCCAGTTGTATATTTATTTCAAAGTGTTTTCATGCCTAAATAAACGAAAGCACAGAACAGACTCACATTTAAGAGCAAGGGCTGTCCGCTGGTGGTTGGCGGTAGAGATCTGCGCGGGACTACATTTTGAATCCCGTTCCCTCCAGGTTTTAGTCCGTACCCGACCATTCCCGCTTATATTCAGCATTTGTTGTACACCAGTTACAGACTGCTCCTGCGCTTTATTCGGAAATTTAGAGCCGGTACAGCCGTGGGAATGCAGACTTCTAGTTGCCGGTATGGTTTGTATATAGGGAGGATTGGCCCTTTAATGTTTATTGCCACCCTTCAATTAGTAATAATAATAATAATACTTTTTTATTTATATAGCACCTTTCCAGAGCTCAAGGACACGTTACAAAGAATGAAACAAAAAGAGATAGTACGAACACACATTAAAAGAAACAGTAATCAAGTAGAGACAACATTAGGTTTACAAACATACAAAAAGTCAAATATACAAACTGGAAATACAAAACAAGACCTAGGAGACAAATATGCAGACTCCAGGTTGATCAAACAAAGTGGTCAGTTTATGAAATTAGAAGTGTAACATTCAAAAAGCAAGTAAGTTTAGGAAAAGATTTAAATTCTGAGATATTATTAATAGAACGGAGTGAAAGTGGCAGAGAGTTCCAAAGTTTGGGTGCAATAACACTAAATGATCTGCCCCCCATTGAAGAGAGGCGATACCAAGGGACCAGAAGGCCAGTCTGAGGAACGTAATGAGCGAGTAGAGATGTAGGGGATAAGCATGTTTCAAAGATAAGAGGGAGCTAGGCCATTTAAGGATCTAAATGCAAGGAGGGGAATTTTGAATTTAATGCAGTATGCAACTGGGAGCCAATGGAGGTCGCACAAGATTGGGGTTATATGAGCAGAACAATTGGTATGAGGGAGTATTATAGCTGCAGAGTTTTGAATATATTGTAATCTGGAGATGAGGCTGGCAGGCAGACCAATAAAAAGAGCATTACAGTAGTCAATGTGTGATGAGACAAATGCATGGATGACAGTGTTAGCATCCTTACTACTGATGAAGGGAATTAAAGAATGCAGATTTAATAACAGATTTAATGCGAGACTAAAAGAAGAATGTAGAGTCAAAGATTACACCTAAATTACACCATAGGAAGATTAAAAATAGGGGAGAAATACGGGAAAATACCTTTACGGGATGATAGCAGGATGTAACTGTAAAATACAGTACTGTACAATCCTGTGAAAAACGGGAGGGTTGGTAGGTATGTTAATGATTTGTTTAGTGGTAGATTTAAATGTACACTGAAAATACTGTTTCTCTCTCTAAGGACTTATTATGCGATCTCTGTTGCCATCTTGTGGCAGAACGTCAAACGACTTTGCTCTGCTCAGTATGACTGGCAAATCAATGAATCTATTTAAAATATGAACTATTCTTATAAATAAACGGCATAGCTGCAATTTAAACATCTACATTCTCACCTAAGCCTCAAAAGTACTTTATTTTGTCCAACAGCAGCAATCCTGTGCCATTCCTGCGGGCGGAGTAATACACAAGGGTGAAGAGGCTGTACAAGTGCTGATATTACTTCAATATTTTATGGCTGTCAGATTCAAGAACCAGACAGAACTGTTATATAAATATATAATTATTCATACCCCTGACAAATTCTGACATACACATTTTTGTTCAAATGTAAATAAAAGTAGAGAAATTTGAAATTTTTTTCAACGATGTTCCCTTTCATATATCATCTTATTATCTTTTGCGAAAAGCCTCATTTCCTGTGAAAAAAAACTCTCGCTGTTTGAATAAAAGAAACTTTACAAAGTAATTTTACAAATATTTATGTAATTTTTTTTGTATTTGTCAAATCCATATATGAATGTAATCCGAATATGTGTTAGAAAATGTAATTTGCATATTTTTTTATGTATCAGATTTTAATATGGGTTACACTAGTCTGCTTCTATAGTTTATTATAGTAATAATAAACTGCATAATTGCTTTATAGCTTAGCATTTTTATACAGTAGAAGTAAGGCAACTCTAGTTTGCAAACAAACATTGACTGGCTGAGACCTAGTTGTTGTCCTGTGTACATCACTAAAAATAACATTAGTCTAAGGACATGATCCCCTTGGTTATAACTGGACTACCATGTAAAATGTGTATCAGAGTGCATGCGTGTTCAATATGTGTGTTTTTTGTATGTGTGCCTGTACTGTAAATATGCTTTTCGTGTTGCCCATGCTTGCAACTGACTATTTAGTATATCTAGTACAGGGTGTAAGTTCAAACCTGTCCATTAACTTTTTGTGTTGTTGTGATGAATCATAACAATTATTCACAAAGCTGCCTTTAAATTAGAATGGGCTCAACCTAATGATGTTGTTCTCTGCTGTGCTGCTGCTGTAAGTCATCAGTTGCCTTTGTTTGCTGTTTGCACTTTTTGGGACTCAACAATAAGGACCTTTCCTGCCGGCCCCAACTGCCAGAACAATTTGAGATGACATTTAAAGATATGACAGAAAGATGTATTTACGAAGTAACGGCCACATTTCCAGACCCGGAAAATTCAAGTCTTCATCCCTTATTCAAACATACTGATGTTTGTAGAGGGTAAAACCTTTTATGCGTTTCAGCTATTTCATTTGTGAACATTCATTCGTTCATTCACTCACTTTCTCTTCGGTTTAGTCCCTTTATTAATCCGGGGTCGCCACAGCAGAATGAACCGCCAGCTTATGCAGCACATTTTTACGCAGAGTGCCCTTCCAGCTCCCATCTCTGGGAAACATTTGTGAACATGTAAGAATTAGTTTATATTCATTAATATGCAAATTAAGCAATAAGTTTCCTCCGGGTGCTCCAGTTACCCCCACAGTCTAAAGGCATGCATGTGGTATAAATGAATTGGATGAACTTAATTTATCAGTACTGGGTTGCAGCTGGGAGGGCGTTGGCAGCGTAAAACATATGCCAGAATAGTTGGTGGTTCATTCTGCTGTGACAGCCCCTGATAAATAAGAGACTAAGCCGAAAGAAAATTAATAAAAAATGAATGCAGAATAAGGGCTGCTAAAAAAAAAAAAAAAAATGACACAAACTGCTAAATGGTTTTGTCAATTCAAAACTGTAACCAAGACATTCTGTAACCAGAAAAGTATAACAAGTTCCTCATGTTTTGATTGAATGATTATACTTATTAGCTCTTTGAAAGCAAATATCTTGTAAATGTACACCTTGAACATTTCTTTTGGCCACTACTGTATATTTCAGGGTTTCTGCAGGTTTCACAAAATTAAATTTGACATTAAGACATAAATTTACATTTTAAGACATAGACATTTTGGAGACCATTATGAATTAAATTGTAGACTCAGACAGGGCTAATAAAACA